ATGTGTGACTACTCACTATGTGTGACTACTCACTATGTGTGACTACTTACTATGTGTGACTACTCACTATGTGTGACTACTCACATCTTTAACAGTGTCTACTCCATTTTTTTCCCTATCAAAACTCAACCAAACTTTTCAAACAAGACTACATTTCTACTCTCACTTCTTCATAATGTGGATCTCAATACGGACCCTGCAGTGAATTTTTGTAGTTCTTTTTTAGCATTTATTAATTTTTGAATATATGTGTATGTGTGTGCAGGTCAGAAGACAATTTGTAGGAGTCAGTTGTCACCTTCCATGTGGGCTCTAAGGACTGAGCTAAAGTCATAAAACTTAGAGGGGCAGTAAGTTTTCCCACTGCCCTAGCTCACTAGCCCCTGCCGTGAACTCTAAATTGATTCAGCAGTTGGGTGATCTGCCCCCCTCCTTGTCTCTGCCAGATTTAACCTTTGCTGACACTCTGCCATCTCAAGTCACTGACTGCCGCTTCGGTTTCATCTTTCTTTCCTCTGTTCACCCTTGGCCAACTTTTCACTTTTCCTAAAGCTCCAGTCTTGGTATTCAACCACGACTCCAGGGCTCAAGAACTGTTAACTAGCTTTCCAGTGATGACGCTGGAAATACCGTCAGCCCTTACTTGCTCAAATTCCCAGCTTTCATACAGCATCCTCTTTCAGACTTTCACTATCTACCATAACTTCCACTTAAACGCCTCCATGGAATCTCAGTTGGGACTACCCTCAGTAAATGGATCCTCTCCCCTCACATGTACCACTCATTTCTTATCCTCTAGCTTCTGTAACTGGAACTAGCATTTGGCTTTGAAAATTTAGAATTATCTCTGGTCCTTCCTTCTCCTTAATTCTTCATTATAGTTATTAAACCTAGAAAAGGGTTTCAGTTTTATTTGTATATATGTGGCAGTATATGGGTACACACATACTTGTGTGGGTACCTATGGAAGGCAGAAGAGGGACTCCCTCGGAACTAGAGTTCCAGGCAATTGTGAACTGTCAGACATGGATGCTGGGAACTGAACTCATGCTCTCTGCCAAAGCAGTAAGTGTTCTTAGCCTCTGAGTGTTCTCTTCAGCCCTAATTATTAAACTTTATTTTCCTTCCATATTTACACCTTCCTCTTCATCCCCATGGTATAATCTTATACGTCAACAAGTCTAATTTTCTCTTAATCAGTCTCTTGCTGTTGTTTGATCTCTCTCCTTTTTTTCCAACATAGCTGCACAAAGTCATCAAGGAAATCTTCTACAATGTAATGTTCATCATCACTACTCTATTTTAAAACATATGAGCCCAATTTCTCCACAGCCAACCTTACAATGTCCCAGAATTCTGTCCATGCTGTAACATGGCCTTCCATACCTTCGTCGACTTTTCCTTCCATTACACCCTATACTCCCATCAGTTCTCGCCCTGCTCGCTGACCAAGGAGAGCACATCCACTTTCCTCTTCCCATTTTTCATGTACTTTCTTCTTACATGTGATTTATATTCCTTGGTAAATTCTCCCTAGTCTTTCAATTCCAAGTCAAATAGTACCATCTCTGCTATAAGCCTCTCACTTGCATACTGCAGTTCTCCACAGAAATTCTGCTCTGAGCTATAAGAAAACAACCCAGGGTGTAGTGGCTTGTACAGTGAGGGCAGGCAGATTTTCACTTGGGCTAATGTGCTACAGAAGTGCATGAACAGGAAGGGCAGTTCTGCCTCTGCTACTCATCCTGGGGCTTCAGGGAGAAGACATAAGCTAGTCCTTTTCTGAAGACAGCCGACTGTCTCTGCCTTACACAAGATCATTCCTTCCTTCCTCCAACAATTTATTTATTGCATGGCACTATAAATTGAACAATGAATGCATCATACTTTTTAAAAGGCTATGTAAATTTATCAAAAAAGTGTCACCAAAAAATTTAAAAAGCCGTTTAAGATAAAATGGCAGCTGTCTCCCAAGATGAAGTTTTTGTTTCCACTTAGGAAATTAATAACCCAAAAATGGTCAAGAGAAGGGAAAAAATTATATACATATGTAATTATATAAGTATGTGCATATGTATATAATTTTTAAAATATAGTCATATATGTATGCATATATGTATACATATATATATGACTCTAATCTTTAGTCAACTGCTGAAGATTTTAAAGAGAAAAATTTTACATATTCTTAGTAATAAGAAATGTGTGCCTTAAAGGCTGAGACTTCCCACATGGATAGAGCTAAAAATTATTACATAAAATAAAGCCAAGAAAAACAAGCACCCCATTATCTCACTTGTATGTGTATACATGAGCTGCTCTCAGAGCAGCTGATAGGAGAACAACAGGTATCCAGAGGCTGAAGAGAACAGGAGAGAGGAAAGGCTGGGTAAAGTTATCCAGAATACAAGGCTGTAAGTAGGTAAGAATGCAATGTCCTGGTGTGTCACCACACACAGAGTGCTTTTTCTTCTGTAGGTATCTATGTGAAATTATGTCAAAGGTTTCTTCTATAGATATCTTCTTTTGTAGATAATGATAATATACAATACATTTCAAAAGATGAATTCTGAATGTTCCTTTAGAAAACTTTTATTACATTTATCTCCAGTGGGTATATAGGTATCAAGACAACTTTTGGGAGTCAGTTCTCTCCCTCTACCATGTGGGCTCCAGGGATTGAACACAGGTCACTAGTCCTGGCAGCAAGCACTTTCACCTGCCATCTCACCAACCCCTAATGTTTCCAACATGAAAAAATGACAAAATACTTGCATTTGAGAGAATATGTTTAGCTTGGCTGAAACAGTGGAGAGTATATATAGGTACTGGAGCATCAGATGTTACCACATAAATATATATATAGCATGTTTTATGTATCAGTTTAAAATATAAATTTAAAAGTATTAAATTTCCTAATGAAGTTCCCTGCTATTTTCTAATCTAATATGCAATCTAAGGTATAAACTTTAAACCAATACCTACAATAATGTACTGTCATTAATCTAAAACTTCTAACATTCCTTTGGCAATACCCTAAAAACTATACAATGTGGTATAACCCTAAAATTTTTACACCAAGAAAATACTTATTAAAAATAATGAAGCATCACTGCTCAGCTTTTTGGCTAAGATTAAGTATAAAACTAATAAAGCAAACAGCAAAGATTACTGAACCTATCAACTGCACTCCACTGCCCCCTAGTGTTACTAATCCTAAGTGTCACCCTGTTTATTGTGAATTTTTAAAACAAATGGAAATGAACGAGGAACATCACCCACCAACAGTGCTGCCTTGAACTGAGCACGAGTTCCCAGCCAAACCCTGACCTAGACGCTTCATTCAAACCTCCATATGTTGGTGAGAATGAGGACTATGGAAACATTTATTCCCTTTCTAGAAGCTCTGAATGGAAGGATTTCCACTGGTAAAACCTCCACTGTTTTCTCATCTCCAAGGTGAGATCCATCCAAGAATCTCCAAGATGAGATTCCAAGAGATGCATCCTCTCTGCTGCTGATTCTTCACAATCACCAGGGCAGGGGTCCATGGAGAGAAGCCTGCCAACAGTTCATCACCAACGTAAGGCCATCTAATTCTGAGTTTCAGGATTAAGAAGCCCATCTGCCCATAGATATGAACCACACTCTCCAATATGACTATCATTTGCAATTAAAGGGCTATTTTTGGCTACCATGTATTGTGCCTTTCCCTATATACCTCTTAATTGGTTTACACTACACTATGAAACAAGCTAGTTTTATTATTCCTTTAAAATTCTCTATCATTCTTATGACTTTAAGTTTATAACTGAAATCACCATTAGTAATATCGTGAAATCCATAGTCCTTAGCACAATGCACGACATAGGCATTTTAAAGATATGTAAAGATGTTCAATGTGAAACTGATTTGCACATATATGCTGTATCTTAAATAGAAACAACACCTACCCTATGTTGAAAAAAGGATGGATCAAGATATTTATCAAATCGATCTTCAAATTTTACATCTGATTTTTTCCATTTTACCTGAAAAAAAAATATTCCCACTTGAAAATTAAGGCCAATAAGTGATGAATAACCTGATGGCAAAACTCATATAAAAATCAGAAATACTGACATACTTAAAATTAAAATTAAATGTTAAGAAGATACTGAAAGAACCAGAGGTTTAAATTTTAGTTTTACTATTTTATGTGCATGGATATGTGTGTGTGTCTGTGCACCACACATGTGCCATACAAGGAGAGGCCTGAAGAGGATTCAGAGTTAAGATCTTGTGAACTGCTATGCAGATGCTGGGAACTGAACCTGGCTTCTGTAGAAGAGCAGGCAGAGCTCTTCATCACTGAACCATCTCTTCAGCCCCAGTCTGAGAAGTTGTATAATATTACAGCTTTCCTCAGATGGGTCATGTCAGCTTTCAAGGAATAATCACTACTGCTGACTGACGTATTGACTTGACACATGTGTCAGGATGAATACCAACTCATGTTGCAAGTATTTAAACCAATTAAAATAAGAATACATACATTTTTATCATTAAATTATGGTTTAATGACAACTATTAAAATTCTTTGCATAATTATACAATAGCTATTTATATTGGATATACATGGACAAAAAGAATTTTCGGGATTGCCTATAAGCGAGGGGATTCTTCTCAATGACCAGGAAAATAACTGGCAGAGAGAAAAGTCTCCCTATATTGGACTTCCTCTCTTTCTTCCACCATTTTTGAGCAAAAAGAATAAAATGACCTTTACGGCCGAGAATGGACTGACAAGCTCTTACTATGCAGAAGTGCTCTCCTCAGATAAAGCCGACCACGGCAATGGACACCTGCTCAACAACTTCACACCATCTCTATTTGCAACTGCAAATGAGAAGAAACATGAACTTCTCCAACCTAAAAACACCATCAAGATACACGGCTGAGTTGTCACCTACAGCAATGGTCATTAGGCCAACGTGTGGCATCCCATACCACAGCTCTGAGGTACTTCCTCTTCCTTTAGGAGACTTAATGTAGATACTCTGAGGAATTTTGTTGCATGTAATTTTAAGATATATTTTTATTTTCTAAAGCTTACAAATAACCATTTCTCCCTTTAAACAATTATTTTAAAACCTACCGAATATGACATCTGTATTTTAGTATTTGGAACCAGTTTGACCTTTCCTTCACTAGTTAGATTAACATCAACAATTCGATTTCCATTAAAGCCTATTTCAAGTTTTTTGTAGGTCCAAAGATAGTAATCTTCCCCATTTTCATCTGCTTCACCAACAATACCTATAAAAGAAAAAACACTTTATACAAGGTAATACTACCTAGTATTCCAAACACTAAGAAGCTAAAAATTCACTAAATGTCTTTTACATAAAGAGGCAATTCTACCATTATCTTCATGGTTAGTTAGCACAAGGCAAATGTGTAGGCTGGCCTTCTTAAGCAAACATGTGCTGTGGTCACACTAGCACAAAATTATGAAGACATGTTTAGCATAAATGGTCAAAAATTTGACACTCAGAACTCATACTCTGTCCTCACCAGCACCTCTGCTGCTGCACACACTGCTGCAGGGTCTCACTATGTAGTGCTGGCTGGCCTGGGACTTGCTGTGTAGACCAGGATGGCCTTGAATTCACAGAAATCCTCTTTGCCTTTTCCTCCCAGAGATTAACTTTCTTATAAATCTCCTTAGCATATCTAATGTGCTCAGTCAGTTTTGCTGCAGATGAACATAATGATCAGCTAACAATTTTAAGATTAAAAGATAATTACTTATACACAGAGCATATGTCTAGAGACGAGAAAAATATTTGTGATCAAACATGTTGTCTATGGCAACTGCTTATTCCTTGCATTTAAAATAATTTAATTAAGTTATTTTCGGGTTTTGCCTATGTTTGTATTAATCGTATTACGTCTCTTCCCCAATAGAATGGACAGACAGGAGCTAGACAAGAATATCTCTTCAATATTCAATGTTTTGGTAAATAACAAAGGAACTGATAAGTAAAACATTCAAGAAATTATATCCCTAAAAACATACTACTACAGTGTCACGTAAAGAGATAAACTTCACAAATCCTATTTAGTCCCTCTAACCACACTTAAGAGAAATAAGCTGTGAAGAAGTTGAGGAAGAAGAAAATTTCAGATTATTCCAAATGCCTTTAAATTCCTTGAGTCTGAAAAGTTACAGTGTACTAAACCTTTCATTCTGAGAGTTTCCTAATAAGGTCTGGCAGTATCAAAAATGCCTCCAGTAGGAGAAAGCCGTAAAATCAGCATTAAAGACTATTCTGGGGCAAACACTAGAAACACATGTCCATCATGAGCTAGAACAGTTACCTTAACACACTGCTTACTTGAAACCCTACTTTGTAACAGAGGAAACTTACCCCATATTGGTAAGTCATCTATGTACATCTGATACCAATAGTGATTCTTGATAGCATACACAAATGCATCTCTCTTCTCTTTATCTAAGTCAATTTCACAGTAAGTACCTGGCATCACATCATCTGCAAAGTAAAATTTACAAATTAACCCACTGACTTGCAAGGCAGTTATAGGAAATACAGCACAAAAATTAAAGTCAGCATTTACTCAAGTTAACTCTATTCCCAGTAGTTCAACCTGGTGATAAGCATATGGGAGCTCAGTATGCTATCCCTCCCAGCATTTTTATATTTTCCATTGCCTTATAATAAAAGATTTTGACCATCTTTATTTTCAAAGATTGCCTTACGTGAGAAACTTTTCATGTAAAGAAAATAATCTAAGAACAATAGCAAAGTCACTTTAAAATAAATAAACTGATATAAAAACAAACAACACAGAAGCTTATGGCACATAAGGAAATTTTCATCTGCTGTATGGGAAGGCTTAAGGACAGGAGCCTAGGCAGAGGTAAGAGCACAGCTTACGGTTACTTGGATAAACATTCAGTGGAACCCCACGTCATCAGTGGCCACAGAGGCTCCTCATAATCATTAAGATCACAAGGCAAGCTTCTATCCAGGAGGCATCTCTGCTTATAGATCACTCAGAAATACCCTAAAGATGAGTCACTTCCATTCTTGATTGCTTGCAAAAACAGTGTTCTCATAGTTGTGTCCAGATGGTCTTCTATTTCTAATGTTTCAACCTCTATCCACATTTTATATAACTGAAAAACTAGCTAAAATCTCTCACCATAAATCACTGGTTGAAACTGGCAACAGAATATTCCTCCCTCAAGTGAAACACAAACTTACAAATTCTGAAGAAAATGCAACTAAGATTTTAGCAATGCAAAAAATCTTGAGGAGGAGGATAAAAGCAAAGTCATACACTAGTGTATGTCCATGCATACTTCTCACAGAGATCACCACGCTAAGTAGACCCAGAACCTAACTGCCAATCTATGCCCAATAACCACCCAGAAAATGATGGCTAGCACTGCACACATTGTGTTCTCAGAGGATGTACCACACTACCTTACTTACACGTTCTCTTTTGATGGAATTACTAATATGGAAAAGCACTCTCTTACCTCAAATTCCAAAGCGCAGCAAAGTTATCATGAAATCACCATATATGTACACAAGAGACATGGCAAAGTCCCGAGTTCTGGTTTGAGTTCCACCACTTACTAGCTACTTGAACAAAAGCAAATGGTTTAACCTCTCTGTGACCCTCACACAGTTCCTCAGCTGTGAAACTGGAAACTGTGCTGGCTCCTTCCCGGGACTGTCTGAAGGCTGGAATGTGATGTATTTTGTATTCACACTGTTCTTAAGTACTTTGGCCCTTACACTCTTGAGAATCTCATGAATGTGTTACTTCCCCTGCCACAGTTCACCCCCACTGCACCCTGAAAATGTAGAATCACACAAAATTAGGTGCACAATTTCATAGTACCCAAGTGTGGACCCCTGAAGCCAGAGGTCTGGTTAAACTCTCTACATTCACAGCCTATCGCAGTCTGGAATGCAACTACATACTCAATAACTGCCAAATAGATTTTAAAAACATGAACTGGAAATACTGGTATATGCGCAGTCAATTTTAAAAACTATTAACATACAAATTAACTACGTAGCCTGCCTGGCAATGTAGCTTAGGGGAAACAAGCCTAGAATCTTAGCTACAGAAGCTAATACAGAAGGATTGCAAGCTCAGAGTCAGCCAGGGCTACAGAGGAACCCAAAGCTAGGCTATGTAACTTAGCAAGACTGTGTCTCAAAATGAAAAGTTAAAAAGAAAAAAAAATGGATGGGGGGCTGGAAATGTAGCTCAGTAGGAAAACATTTGCTTAACATCCATGAGGTCCTGTCTTCAGCTCAGTCTCTAATACTAAAAAGAAAGAAAAAGAGAAAGGAAGGGAGCAAATCACCTTGTAACTAGTGTGGGGAAAATTACATATCCTAATTACAGAGTACTATTTACCCATATTTGAAGAATAACAATATAAGAATAAACTCACAAAAAGTTATAAGGAAAAAAAGGTATGAAAATAATTACATATAATTTTAGTTAGAAACGCTCAAATTACTGGCATATGGTCAGTACTACATAAGGGTTGAGCTTTTAAAAAATTAACATAGATAACATGAATTCAGTTTTTAATTTCTTGTGACAGGATCTCACCATGGACCTCAAGTTGACTGGAAATTCTCAATCCTTCCATTTCAGCACGCTCAGTTTAATTTTATGTATTTTTAAGCAATTTGGATAAACAGAATTTTCAATTTCTCTCTAGATTCTAAATTTTCTGTATCAAAACTGTATTTCTGCTAAAAATCAGAAGAAGAAAATGAAACCATACATACATCTTTTCTTTTGGGGGGTGATGTCAATCTGAAGAATAATAATTTCAGTGATACAAAAAAGAAAAAACAAGAATTAGAAGCTATTATCCAATCTATAGTTAGCATAAGGTACAAAAAAAAAAAACAAAACAAGGAACTGACAAGTTTCAGATTCTAATTGTTTGGTCTGGTTAACGCACTAATTGAAACCAATGGGAAGAAACATCTTGCATCAAACTCCCATACCTCCAGTTATCAAGGCAAGTTTAAACACAGGTAGTTTGTTTTTTTTCTCCCTCCTAAAATCCCTCAAATGTCGACAGAAAAGGATGTGAGTCCATCAAACCAAAAACAGTGGCTATGGCAAAGCACCGTGACCAAGGCAACAAGAACGAAAGGATTATTTAGCTTACAGTTATAGTATCAGAGGGAAAGAGTCCACCATAGCAAGCAAGCATGGTGGCTGGAGCAGAAGCTGAGGGCTCACATCTTGAGCCACAAGGGGGGGTGGAGAGGGAAGAGCAAACTGAAATGGTTTTGAAATCTCGAAGCTCACCCCCAGTGACATATTTCCTCCAGCAAGGCTGTACCTCCTAAACCCACCCAAACACCATCACCAACTGATGACCAAATATTCAAACATGTGACCTACTGGGACATTATCATTCATATCATCACAAATGAAGAGCTAAGCAGACTTTTGGGAAAGGAAAAGCAGAGAATGTGATCAGTGACATATAACACAGGGGACAAGACAATGACGTCACAGCCTGTCTAAGATACATACCACAAACCTTGAAATGTACAGGATAGAGAAGCGTTGAACAGAGTAATTACATGCAAATATTTACATTCAATGGACATAATGGTTCCATCTTTGATCCCAAGACTTAGAATGTAAGCGACAGAAGGACCATAAATCTGAGGTAAATCTGAAGTCTCAAAAAAAAAAAAAAAAAAAATCAAGGGCTGAGGATGGAACTCAGAAGGGATGAAGTTGATAAGGACAACAATGATGACAAGATGATAAAAACAACCGCAGAGAAGAGGAAGAAACTAAAAACAACACGAGGTTGGATGTTCATGTTCTCTCCCCTACCTACCACACAACTAGATGAATACCCAAAACTTATCTCCTACTGCAGGAGACCAGAGGCACACTTCCCTCTGCAGAATATCTGGAGGCTCCAGAAGTAGTCCCATGGAAACAGCAGGAGCTAGGGAATGTCAACAGTATAGGACTGCCTTCAGTAGAAATCCTCCGGCTAAAAGAGAGGGCCTGCGACTCCAAGTTCTTTCCCCATCCTTTGGCAGTCAGAGCTACTCCACTCAGGCAGAGATCACACTGGAAATGCTGCCTTTGGGAAGGAGAGCAGCCGAGATGGAGAATCACTCAACTTTAAGTACATAAGGATCTAGACAGCACTGGCTTTTCTCCATATCTGCAGAACTCTAAATTTACCAACTCATTCAAGGTAAGAGGAAATACAAAATGCCATCTGTATGTTAGGTTAGGACATTCAAAAAAGAAATAATTTAAAAAATAGAATATAGTAAGTGAAAAGGAATAATCCCTAGAAATCATTATTTTTCAACTACTAATGCCCTCTATTATACCATAGGAGTCTCAAATAACAGGGAAAGACACTGGGCAGTGACTTCCCCTGGTTAGGACTATTATCCCAGCTAGGCCTGGTGGCTACCTGTGATCTCAACACTCAAAAGACTGAGGCAGAGAATTGTAAGTTCTAACCTGATCTCAGCAAAGTCCAGCAAGGGATATATAGTAAGTGCTAGGCTTAAGCTAGCCTAGCCAACATGGTAATACCTTTTACACACACACAGCCAAGAACAAAATATTAGAATTTCAATCTCAGATCATCTAATAATTAAAAGGAACTGTCATAAAAGTAAGTAGGTACACACTGTACAATTTATTAAGAGCGTTCTCAGTCTTAGCAGCTAGGGTATGTACTAACAAAACTAGCAGAAAGAGTACAGTAATTTGAGACTACACTAACTTAACATTTCAGAAGTGCTAATACATAAGCAAGTACAATTACAGATCCATACTATATATATTAGTAGGCACAACTATTCACACACATAAACTATATACCAAGTACTTTAAAAAGTACATTATCTCATTTAAATATAACAATGATTCTATCAGGTATATTATTCCCCATGCTTCCCAGACAAGAGCTACACAGACTGAATAGTCTTTCTATAACCACACAGACGGCAATAGCTATTCCATGTCTCATTCTTAAACATAAGGTTTTCTACTCGGTAACAGCAATGTTCTAAGAGATAGTATTCATAATTAGAAAATAATAAAATCAGGCCTGGTTCAAGGATGCCTAATATATATCTGTCCTTGAATATTTAATGCATTTTCTCTAAATGGTCTCAATTAGCATTTTTGTCTAGCACCAGCATATTACAAAAAGAGAATGCTGGGCAGAAAATCTGAACTGAGAGGCATTCGACACAACTCAGACCTAAAATAGCCTTCAGACCAAGAATATGACTAGTTCCTTAAAATAATCTCTCTAGTTACCTTCACGCTACAAAATGGCACCAATCCCATTAGCCTGATAGAATCTGCTAAGTTTAAATAAATCAATTGATAATACGTTTCTGTATGTATGTGTGCAAACATGTGTGTGCATTTGCACATATGTTTTAAATTTCTTACTGCATATGAACACACCTTCAGAAGAATGGAAAAGTCAACTGCTTGAGATGAAAGACTAAAAACAAATATTAGTTGGATACAATGCTGTATGTCCGTAATCCCAGCACTCAGGAGGTGAAGAGAATGAGAAACTCAAGGACAGCCTAAGATACACAGCAGATTTGAGGCTAGCCTGAGCTTCAAGTCTCTACTTTAAAACACCTCAAAATAATAGACAGACAGATAGACAGATCAGTGTTTCACATTAAGACAATGTTCTGCTTTCTATATCATTATCAGTATGTATGAAATACCATGAATAAACTGCCCCACATCTGGACCTCCAAAGGTACATTCTATCCAAAAGTTTATTAAAAATAACAATGAGTAACAAAAGCAGGAACCATTTTTCAAAGCATGATCATCTTTATCTATGAGCCAAAGACGCAAAAGCCTACTGTAGCAGTAAACGAAATCCAATCTCCACTGGCCCCTTCATCTAGACTACCTAGACTAGCAGTTGTTTAGGCAGCGTAACCAACAGAAGGTGCAGAGCTGGCCTAGGCTCAGGGAGAAACAATGGGCAATTCTTGCATCTCTCAAGTATTAGCTTAGTCTGGAAAGACAACAAACCTCCCTTTCAAGACCATGAGAACAGCCTGACGACTTATCTCCGTCTCAGGAGTTTGTACAAGGCTAAGACTGCTGTATAAGTGTTTTTTCAGACAAGTAAGGCAGAAGGATTTCAAATCTGATGACATCACTGCACCAAAACAGGACTTATGGGTTTACAATCTCTCTCTCTCTCCCCTCCCTCACCCTCTCCTTCCTTCCCTCCCTCCCTTCCCCCCCCCCTCTATTAAATGAGACATGTCTACGAAATATAGAAAAGGAGACGCTAAGTGGATAAACTCAGTACTGAGGCTCCCAAAGATCACACGTTCCCATTTAGTTTCTTCATATCTATGATTAAATATTTCAATTACCTTATAAAATTAAAACATAAGCCTCAGGGTATGTTTCTAACATTCACAAAATTATAGGCCCCACTACTACGGTTTAAATTTACAACTCAAGTTTATAATTAAGTCCCAAGGGACATTATGGGGAAGGCATAAATACATGCATCCATTTTCAAAACATAACTAAAAGAAATCTGATAAATAAGAACACAATTTAACAAATCAAAGTAATATTATCTTTGTACCTCATGCTATAGCCTCCTCCCAATGTACTAAAACTATCAAACGGCAGTTACTATCTATATTACATATCCATAGACATAATCAAGTCAAAATTGGAGCAAACGATTTCACTAAAACCAATGAAGTAAAAGAAATAAGGCTAAAGGCAAAGCTCCTGAGTACAAAGCCTGTGTTCTATTAAAAAAATCAAAACCTCCAGATCAAAGATTCAGCAAGATTTCAACTTCCCAGAGATGCTTTAGCCATGGTTCTACAAATGTCTGTGCAGAGAGTGCTGAGACCTCAGAGAAGAAAGTACTAAGTATACACACACACACACACATTCTCATTAGCAGTGCCAACAAAGAGACTCACCCTTAAACCTAAGTGTTTGACTTAAATTTTAAATATTCTACAGGTGTTAAGGATGAATTAATAGAGCAATACCAAATTCATTCTGAGTATATTGTAGAAGTTAGATTTGAGGTTTTACAAAAGTTTTTCAGAAACCGTACATCCCTTTAGAGTCCCACACTTCCAAAAACCACTTTATTATGAGATCTATGAAGGCCTTCCCAGGCCATATATGTATCTAATAAATTTACTAAAAAATACTTTTTAGAAAGTACTATGTTTGGGAAACATTCGATTAACTTTGCTAAACATCCTATAATAAACATGACAATAGCATACAGGAAAATTCCCTGGCTCCAATGTCAGTAAGGACTATTAATGCTGGCTTACCTTTAAATTTAATATCCAGGCCACTAAATTCTAATTCAACTCCTTGAAGCGCTTCTCCCAAAGTTTCATGGTAATGACTGATACTTTTTTTTGACCCCACACAAAATGGAAGTGAAAAGTATTTATATGTTTCTTGGCGATTGTGATAGGGCCCAACAGTATTCATCCATAAAACAACTTCTTCTTTATCTTGATACTGTAACAAGAAAAACAAGACATGTATTTTTAAAATATCTATTTCAATTAAGTAAACTGTCTACATTCAAGATGCTAAAGAGGTGAAACCGTAGAAATTTAATCTGACTACCAATGCACACACTTTCAAAATCAAGGGTCACGACTCTTCAAATTTTATCCTGATTGTGGTCTCAGAATCCATTTTCCCCAAACTTTGTTTTACAAAAGACAATGTTTTTTTTTTTTAAAGTCAAAAGGTTGTGAAAGTAGGTTTATAACTATTAAACAATGGCAAGCCCCAAACCAACATACTCTGACAGGGAAACCTGCACAAGGAAGGAAAATTAACAGCTTCTTGACGTTAATCATTAGACTCCCTCCCCTGAGAAAGTCATGTCAGCACAAAACAATGCAGCCTTCCCTTAGTCTTCCTCACTGCTGCTGTACTAGACAAGAGACAAGTGACTAGAAAAAGAAAAGCAACACTACCACCAACACAAGGACATTCAAAGTGACATTCCACCCACCATCAAAGACTCATCTTGCATCTCTATTTCTTTGAATTATACCTGTAACCATCAGTGAATATAGTCATATATAGGTCTGGGGCAACCAACTTTACCTTTCTGTGATCCAGCAGTAGGACCTACCAAGGATTTTTTTTTAAAAATCTCTATAAATTTAAAATTCATAGTAATATTAACCAGACACTATCAGATTTATTTTTAAATTATGTGTATGTGTTTGTGTATCTGTCCTTGGAGGCCAGAGGCATCAGATCTGCCTGGAGCTGAAGGTACAGGGAGTTGTAAGGTATATGGTGCTGGGAATCAAACTCTAGTCCTCTACAAGAGCAGTAAGTGCTCGGGTACTTTCAAGTCAACTAATGGTACAACAGCTGATGCAGTGGATAATATTTATGAAGTACCTAGCATATGCCAACAACTGTGTTGATCACTGAGGATTCTGCTTTCCATAGAATGTTTTCTCTACTGATGTCTTAAAGGAAATAATTTAACAGGAAGCTATGCACCTAGCAGCTATATAATTTCTATCACCACTTCTCCCATTGAAAACTGATCAGTAAATTTTCAACAAAAATCTAACATGTTCACAACCAAATTAACCTTACTCAAATATACTGTTTCAACTGTTTTCCTAATGATACTAAAAGACTCAAACTTAAGGTTCTTCTCTATCTTCCAGAGAATCCCAAATCACTAGCTTATCTACTCTTACTCCAAAAATCTGCTTCTTCCTTTCTGCTGATATCAACTACCACCACTTCCCTAAAACATACTAACTGCCTTGTTGCTCACAGAAGACACCATTCAGATAATCAAGGGAATAAAAACTATCTTACAGTTCAGACACACAGGCAGCATACAGCAAGCCCTACGTTAGATAGTAAGGATACAAGGACAATAAAAAAATATCCTTCTTGCCTGGCACAGTGGCACATGGATGGTGATACATTAATCCCAGCATGTGGGAGGCAGAGAAAGGTACTTCTGACTTCCAGGTTAGCCTGGTCTATGTAGTGTGTTCCAGACAGAGCTACATGGTCAGACTCTGTCTCAAAAATAAAGAATTTTTTAATATTTAATAAAGAATAAGTTCTCTCCTTCAAGTTCATAACCCACGTAGAACCATACATGTAAATGATTAACAATGGGGGAAAGGTTGTGATTACAGTAACAAAGAGCTCTTGTAGCAACAGTAAAGGAATAATTAATTCTGTTCTATCAGAGAAAGGTCAGGGTGAGTAATACAGAAAACTAGAAGCTGCTTCAAGTAAGTTCAGAAAAACAACTACAGATAATCTCCATACATGATGTAAATTGTTAAGGGTCCAGTACTAATGTCTCCACACATCTCCACCCATAACTATTTCTTTTACTTGGGGGTACGACTGACAAACCTGTGCGATAGGTCTCCTATCCAATGCACAATCACAGAGCAGGAATCAAAGTACTCCTTTCTAGTTGCACATTCTCAGAATTCTCCAAAGTGAGATCTCCAACAACCACTTCTCTCTGATCACAGTTCTAAGAATGAAAACTTATTCACCAAGCCAAAATGTTACAATGTACAAAGTATTTGATACAACTAGTAAACACTGAAGAAATAGTGTCATGTCAAGTTCCTTGGCAACTTAGTCAAAGTATGTGCTGTATTCACTCAAAGATAAAAGAGAGACTGGAACAGAAGTGCCCCTTAATGAGAACCTGGCCATGAATCCTGAGTCTGTGGAAATGTTATATGTAACTCTAGAAAATACCTTTGAGATAAACCTCAATATATGTAATTCTTTAAAGTAAGACATTTATTTTATGCACAGCCAGTTTAACGGTAACAATGTATATTAAACCCATATTCTGAAATGGCATTAGTTTGAACATGTGTGAAACCTTAACAGGCTGGCAGAGCTGTGACAGAATGAGCCAAAAACTAGAACAAAACTGTACACATTCTGTAGTTTACGATTCTCTCCAGAAGAGAGAAAGTAGCAGTCACACAAAGTTGCAGGTGAACATTAAAAACTGTAACAACAATGTGCCCGATTCTGCAGTCTAAGACTGGGACAGGGCTCAAGTAGTAATGAGAAACACTCGGAGCTGCAGGTGAGGACTGGGGCCCAAACAATGCTTCCCTTCTGTAACAGGCTCCTTTCTTGCCGTCAAATACAATGAACTTCAAATCCTTACTTCATCCAGATTTCATTCACCCCTGAAAGTAAGGGCTCCCAAGCCAAGGTCAAGAGCTCAGATTCACTGAGCTCAGTGGCACAAACTAAGCACAAGCTCAGGAAGCTGTGGCAGGAAGATTATGAGTTTGATGCTAATCTAGGCTACATGGTCTCCATCTTAAGAGTTCCATCTTAAGAGAAAAAAAAATGTTTAATGATATCTTGAAGCTTGAAGAACCAAAAGGAAGATTTCATAGAACTTTATAAGGAGGCAGGGAAGCTTTTTCTGCCCTTAAGTTGAGGACAAACTCCCTGAGCTCCCTGGGTCTGTGGAAGGCTTTTCCTCTACTACTCTACCTCTTAGAAACCTGTGGTAAAGACTAGTCTAATTCCCTCCCAAAAGCATCCCAAGAAGTCCTAGCAAAAAAAACTTAAAATACTTTGTTTAGAAAAACTGCACTGGGCGATGACACTGAGGAACAGGGTGTTCTAATTCACCTGTAAAATGTATCTGGGGAAGAAGACTGTCGAGGAAGCACAGCAGAGGTCCCTAGCACGGCAGTCATTCCATCCATCTTAAGCCTCTGGGGTAAGCAGCCCCAAGAAAGGAGAAGCCAGCTTCCTGCATTCTTCACCAAGTTACTCCCTGCCTTCAGAATTTCACTGGAACACTAGTCCTGCACTGTCCATTCCTATCAGAACACCTTAGTACTCTCCTCCTTTCCAAGTGTACTTCACCTTTTTCCTTCTCTTACCCTTAAATCCACAATGTCCTTCTTTTCTGCAATTATTCAAATTCTACTTGCCCTTCAGAAATGCTGAATGTTCCTTTCTTAACTCCTCAGGTAAAGCTTTAACTGACCATCCCTCGAATGGTCTGACCTCATCGGCTTCTGTAATAGCCTCACACTAGCTGCAACTTTAAAACTACACTCCAGGAGGGAGGCATGGAAGTCTTTATGGAAAAATGGGATCTTCTGAAAGCTGGTAGAGAAGCTGTACTATTTCACCCCTTCTACAAATCCAAAATAAAAATAAAATGTTAAGTAATTTGTTCAAGTCAGGCATGGTGGATTTACATGCAGGATTTACGTCTGTAAATCATAGCCTTTGGAAGGCTGATGTGGAGGCAGGCTAAGTCAGAGCCAGCTCAGGCTCCATATCAAGTTCTAGGTCATCCTTGGCTACCTAGCAAGACCTAGTCTCGTAAATAAATACATTGTTTGGACTTTGCTTTTGTTGACTTCCAGATAGGAGTTTTTAACCAAAAAGAAAAAAGAAAAAAATGTAGTTGTACAAAAGCAACATAAGTGTATAGCACTCAATGCCAAGCAACCTTTTCATTTGAGACTTTAATCTGCTCTAAAGGAAAAAACCTCAGACAGTACTTGCACTCTAATCTCAAAAGTCGAGAACTGCTTCTCAAGCAGTGCAGTGTTGGGTCCCACTCATTCTGTTTATGTTTGAGGTGAAGACAGCAAAACTTTACTCCCTGATAGACATCATAACTCCCCTCACTCCCTGGGAAGAACACCGACAAAGTGTTGCTGACCTCTTTGTAAAATCTGACTGAAGAACTCAGAAATTATGCTGCCCACTCAGGATCAGAAGCTCAAAATGAGGGCTAAAGCGCTGCCTTCCATTTTTACAGGAAAGGAACATGCTGACTTTCAAATGCTTTCATTAGAGAAAGCAAATCCACTTCTGCGAGTATTTCAGAAATTAGTTTCAAATGCCTTTCAATTACTTAAAATTACACTTAAGAATATTAATACAAATAAATTAGATTTTTTTCTGACTTTTGTTTTCAACGGTGTGTTGAGATGATTCTTTCTTAAAATAGCTCTGTACTTCAACTTTTCTTCGATCATTAAGTACAGCCCCAAATAGGACCAAGTATGGCGTTTTGTACAATCTAAATCTGCACCAGCATGTTCAAGTCATTTGTAGGACATGCCTTATTCTCATGATAAATCTTCAAGGAAGTTTCTAAAGTTCCTATACTTCTAACATAGACTAAGACAAAAACTGCCACTTGTCAACCAAACAAATCCTTCTGTAGGGGACTAGAGAGCTGGCTCAGTGGTGAAAAGCACTTGCTGCTCTTACAGAGGACTCAGGTTCAATTTCTAGGACCTTTATGGCAGCCCACCACCCACAGTAAACCCAGCTCTAGGGATCTGATGCACTCTTCAGGTCTCCATGGGTGCTGTATGCACACAGTGACTTTATACACACACATACAAGCCAGACACTTAATAGAAAATAAGTCAGTCTTAAAACCTTTTACCAAATCATTCAGTGATACAATATCAAAAGTTTCCAAGAGGCTAAGTAAGCCATCTTAGGCACAGGTGGGGCCATCCCACATGAGAAGTTCTGAAACCACAACTGCAAAGACTGAAAAGAAATGGAGTTCAGATAGGAAACCTAAAGAGCTATGCCTAAGACTATGACCACAGGTAAGGAATGGGCTGGTTTTGTTCACTGTGCTGTAAGCAAGTTTCATGCTGCCAGCACTACATATCTTTGCCCCTAGTAGTTACCTAATTACTCAAGTCATTCAACACATGCTAGCTAAGTACTCCTAAGACTAAGCACAGTGCTATGGTGTGTGTATATTTGTAACAGGTGTGAGGAAAGGGGAGAAACACAAATGACAAGACACAACCTTGTGATCATGTTGAGAAACAGAACCCACAAAAGTGACAAGTGCTTTTCACCCACTGAGCTATCTTCTTCACCCTCTTCACTCACTTTAAAGCTTCCCCTGAACCCTATAGGGTCTCATTATGTAGCCCTGGCTGGCTGGCCTGGAACTCACAAGAGATCCACCTGCCTCTGTCTCCCAGTGCTGGGATCAAAAGTGTGTACTACTATGTCTGGCTTTAAAGAGACCTTTTTATGACCCTTTAGTCATATAATAAGAAACTGTCTTTGATAAATGAAAGTATTAAATTTTAATTTCAAACAGTATGCCCTATAATAATCTACACAGTCCAACCTTTAAAAACTGAAGTTAGCAGATTTTCTAGAAGTCAACAGCACATTTCCTTCTTATCATTTTTCTAAGAATATTGGAAGAACTTTGGATAAATAAGCACATAAAGAATACGGGGGAGGGGGGGAGGGAGAGAATGGTGTCAACAAGATGGCCAGCTCAATGGATAAAGGTACCTGCTGCTATGCCTGACAAACTGAATTTCAGTCCCAAGTCTACATGGCAGAAAGAAAGAACCATCTCCCACAAGTTGTCCTCAGGCCTCCACATGCCCACTGAAGCACATACACTCACCCAAACCACAGAATAAAAGAAACAAATATATGTAAAGCCAAAAAAGTTTAAAGAACACTATATGGGTCTAATGTTAGCCAAACCCTAGTTAATTCAGTACAGAAAAAAGGGAATGTGGGGGCTATAGGAGATAACAGGACAGTCATTCCTTCTTGGGACCCATTGTAAAATAAAACTATCTAACTAGGAATAATGATGCATTCAAATAGTCCCAGCTATTCAGAAAGCCAAGGCAGGAGAATCACTTGAGTCCAGACAAGAATTCATGACCAGTTTAGCCAATAATGAGACTCCATTTTCCAAAAAGCAACAGTAAAACAACTGGAGAGATGTCTTCTCAGCAGGTAAGAGTGCTAGTTGCTCTTCCTAAGGATCACACAGTTGGTTCCCAGCGCCCACACTGGGTGGCTCACCACTACCTGTAACTCCAGTTCCAGGGAATCCAATACCCTCCTATGGCCTCCAAGAGCAAATGCACACATGTGCATAAATAATAAATGTTTACAAATAAAAAATATTTTAAAAGTAGCAAGCAAGAAAAGGATAGGATCCTTTGTTCATAAATAATTTCAAGATGGTGGTTAAGTGGGCATTGAAACAAGGAAGTACAGTCTTGCATGACTGCTCAGCCACCTGCCCACTGTGCACAAGCCCTATGCCTTCTTAATGCTTGTACAAACATCTCAGTAATACAATGTGGACCTAGACTCACCCAAACATTTCCTCATGAACTTAAAAGTTCCATCCAGTGTTTTATCATCCTGTTCTTAAGAAAACAAGCTGAGCTGAATAAAGACAACAATGTGGGCTTAGGAAGATGTCTCAGTTGGTAAAGCTCTCCAACATCCAGGTAAGAAACCAGAGGAGGTGGTACACACCTGTATCTCAGCACCTGACAGGAAGAGACAAAAGGATCCCTGGGGCTTACTGGCTAGTCAGTCTAGCCTACTGAGTGAGCTTCAGGACCAGTAAAATGGCCTCTCATGAAAAAGGTGGAGAGCAACTGAGGACAAACTTACTACCAACCTTGGACCTCCATATGCACACGTACACAGACAACAAACCCATATACGAAAACATCACAAAATTTTGTTTTTTCCAAAGACTTATTAACTAGAAGAAGGTTTGGAGTCAAATCCCACTTCTATTCATACTGGGTACAACCTCACACATGACTACCTCTCCAGGCTGTTTCCTAGTCTAGTAGGGTGCATCTTCCCCCTGGCAGGGTTATTTATTTTAGGGTGCTATGATTTAAAACCAGGGCCTTGCACATGTTAAGAAAGCACCACCACCAAGCTTCTCTGGCCCTCATTGTTGCCAACACACACTTAATATGAGTTAATATATGGAAAAGACAGCAGGCCCTGGTACATACTATTTCAAGTCATGTGAACATTCCTTCAGCAACGTCTTTGCAGAAAATGGTCTAAAAGGCAAGCTTTAGCTTTTGAAGTTGTTCTTTAATTAATAGGTCAACGCACAAGTGTTTAAAGATCACTCAGCAATCTTCCCTTGACAACTTGTCTCTTCCTTCTATATTCTCCCTTCACTAGCTACTTCTGCCTTCTTGGAAGACTGCCCACTCTCCTGCCTCAGTGCAGCAGCCATCGCATGCACATGTGCCATGCCTTCACACAACATCCTTTTGGGATAAGAGTGGAGTGCAGAGATACAACCCTGCATGTGTAAAGCGATGGACTCTGTGTCCAGTGTGTATGTGTTGGGGGTGGCAATATCGTTTTATCAAATATTTTATGTGCATAAAAATTAAAACATTCCAGGTGTAGCCAGATGTGGTAGGACACACCTTCAATCCCAGCACTCAGGACGCAGAGGCAGGTGGATCTCTGAATTCAAGGCCAGCCTGGTCTACAGAGAAAGTTCCAGGACAGCCACAGCTACACAGAGGAAACCCTGTTTCAAAAAAAGAAGCATTCCATTCGGTGGTGGAATATGTACATATCACACTGAAGGGTCTGTGTTCAATCCCCAGAACTGAGTACTGAGTGAATGAATGAATGAACGAATGAATGAAGTAAATAAATAAATATGGCATCCCTAACAATAAAATTTCATTGAGTTGGGGGCTTGAGAGATGCTCCAGGAGTTAATTTCCAGCTTTGGTGCCTTGTATTCACACTGGGTAGCTTACTCATCTGTCCCTCTAGTTCCAGGGGACCTAGCCTTTTAGCCTCTAAGACACTCAGAATATACATGATACACATACTACATTCATGCTAGCAAAACTGTCACATGAAATAAAAAAAAGCTTTAAAATTTTTCTCATTGAAACTGCCATGCACAAACTTGTGAGTTATGCTACAGTTTTGTGTACTTACAACTAATTAAATTATAAACTAAGTCTTTTCCCTTCATAGCAATATAAAATACAAATTTTAAAAAGTAGAATATAAATTTCTGTCTATACGGTTGAACTATAACTATCAATACATTCCGGATTTTACATGGAAACTGGTGTTAAAAAGTTGGCAAATACTATTTAAACTACTATACTTGCTGAAATTTAAAAGAAACCAAAATTATCTTAAAGTGAAAAATCACACGTGTCTGAAAAATAACATGTTAACGATTCAATGTTTCTCTGAAAAAAACCTTGCATACACATGCAATTAGATTCTGGCAGTGACTGAAGGTACAATAGCCAAGTTTAGAGTGTTTTATTATTGGGTAATCCAGGCCATAGAACAAAGTTTTGCTCACTACAAACAAAATCTAAAGTTCGCCCCTTAAAGCACAGTGCTCTCATTTTGTCACCGATCAGCTACATCCAAACATTCTCCACAAATTTCAAATTTAGTAATTACACAACTAGCCGGGCAAAAATCATACTAATAAAAATAAAAGCATAAAAACAATCATTCGCGAAGCAATCTTCTAGGTTTATCTGACTTTCTTCGCTTCCCCTCGTCTGCCAATCTGAATAAAAAATAAAATAAAATTAAAAATCCACAGCGTTACAGCTCTAGGTGAAAGTCACTCCAAGAGTCATTAGTAGGCAAGCTTTGATGTGAAGACACAATTAAATAAACCGCCAATCAACTTCAAGCCAAAAGCAAAAGTGAGTGGGGGTGTGGCCTGAGGGCTGGGTGACTCAAGGGCCCGTAGGGTCAGAGCTGCCCCAGTTAGGGGCCGACCACCAGGGACTCCCGGAGAGCGGAGAAAGTTACAAGGGAGTCCTGGGGACCAAGTGCGTGCAGGGTGCGGACGTGTCCGCGTGTAAACCGTTCACATCTCCGCTTCCCTAAAGCTGTCCCCGCCCCACGGTTTAAATCCGGTTCGGACGAGAGGGAGAAAAGGCCGGAGCCCGCCGTGAAGTGATGGGTGTTTCCTAACTGGCAAGCGCCTGGATCACCACGCATCCATCTTCCACCGTGTTGTGTCTCACAGCGTCCAGTTTCCCCGGTCCAGAGCCCGCGACCGGCCGACCCCAGGGCACCAGACCGGAGAGGCGGAGCCGGGGAGCAAGGCCCAGGCAGCCCGGAGTGCTCGGAAATGCCTCCTCCCAGCTCCCGCGGATCCGGCCCCGCCATGCCCGACCGGAAGGAGCGCTCGGGCGGCCGCGGGGCTGCACCGGGCCCCCCGGGCCTTCAGACCACGCCGGGCCTGGCGAGGCGGCAGGCGGGGAAGTGGGGTGGGGGCGGCCGCGCGGCTCGCTTCGCCTCACCGTGTGTTCGTGCTCGTCAGACCGAGCCCGGGGCAGCAGCAGCAGCAACAACGCGGCGGCCGCCGCCACGCCAGGAGCGCCCGGCAGCGGCCTCATCCTCCGCGCTCCCACAGGCCGGGCGCCGGCCCACCGACTCCTCCGCCGCCGCCGCCGCCGATTCACATCCACCAGGCGCGGACAGACGCACGGGGCCCGGGCCCAGCCGCTGCCTCCGCCGCCGTCACCGCCCGCTCCACGCCGCCCCCGCCCCCCGGCCTCCGAGCCTCTTCCTCTGACTCAGCCACGTCATCCGGCCACCCCGGCACACGCCGGAAGTCCTCCCAACGCGGGGCCGCAACCGTCGCCGGCCGTGGGGCGCCGGCGCGCGCAGTCCGCGGGGTTGAAGGGTTCCGCGCTCGCTTCCGAGCTGCTCGCTCGGCCTGGGCCCTCGCGCGTCCGAGCCGAAGCCTCCAGCTGCGGGCGGGCCGGCGTGACAACGGCTCAGGCGCCTAGATCGCCGTGGCTGTGCGGCGGGGCGTCTTACTGGGGACCTGGGGCTCAGCGCGAACACCCCTCTCCGTCTAATCCAGGGAATGAGCCACGGCCTCCCCAAGCTTCTTTATGAACAATGGTTATTAAACTTGGACAGGGTGGGTTGAGTGTTTAAACATTCCCGAGTACTGATTAGACTTCTGGACAACCAAGAGATTTGGGCTAAGTTGACATTCTTGGTCATTCACTTGCCTACGTATTGTTTTTCTCATCCTCAGTCATAAATGTGTCCTGGAATGGAAGCTCCTTAGAGCTCCAATAACTTGATCGTATATTCTGTACCTAAGCCGGTAGTAAAGAGCTAAGTTTGGTGTTTTACTCTTGTAACCTCCAGCACTCGGGAAGCTGGACTGATTGTTGCATATTGCATACTTGCTTGGGTTAGACTGTGAGACAAAACAAGAAGAAAACAGCCGGGCAGTGGTACCGCACGCCTTTAATCCCAGCACTAGGCAGAGGCAGAGGCAGGCGGATTTCTGAGTTCGAGGCCAGTCTGGTCTACAGAGTGAGTTCCAGGACAGCCAGGGCTACACAGAGAAACCCTGTTTAAAAAGAAAAAAAGAAAAGAAGAAAACAACAAAACAAAAGAAATCGGGTCATGGTAGTGCAGGCATGTAATCCCAGCACCTGGACAGCAGAGGCAGAATTGCGGAAAGATTGGAGCCAGCCTTATGACCCAGTACCAGGCCAGCCAGGCTACATAGCAAGGCCCTATCTCAAACCAAAACGTACTACGGACTCAGAAATACCTGTCAAATGATCAGAAGAACAGTCCTCTAAACGTGAGACTTCGAGGAAGATTGTCTCCTCCATCAGTATCAGGCAGATTTTGGTTTGGTATTTGGTCATGTATCTCACAGCCAATATTCTATACCACCATACTGTGCAGAAATCTGAAGAAGACCCCACTACCAATCTTCCTTCCCTGTTCATTCCCAAGGAGTGTCAACATGATTTCCTACAAAGAAATCAAATTCTAAAGTTTTGTCCAAAACATACCTTGAATACTTAGAACTCATATAGTGGAATCACCAGTAATGATTTCATCTGCCAGGCACTCTTTGATACTCACACAGACACCATGCGACATGTACCTTTAGTGTGTTCACATTACAGAAAAGTAACAGAAGCACAGGTCAGCTGACTTGCTCAAAGATAAAACCCAGTTTGCTTCTTTAGTTTTTTAACTGCTTAATGTATTACCAACCATACAGCTCTTTAAAAGGTGAATCAGATGTGCTCTCATTAGCATGAAAAGATATCCAAGAAAAACTTAAAAATAGAAAAGTTTGCTTCCATTTTAAATGGTAACATGTTAGTTTACCTGTAGAAAACAATCTTAAGTGATTAATACTCAAACCATTATCAGAGTGATTTACTTCAAAATTTGTATACACCTCTTTGGAAGTTTGTGTATGTGTGTGTTATGCATATGTATATGAGTGCACACTTATATGTATGTGTATGTGTGTTGAGGTCATATGTTTCTCACTGAAGCTAAAGACCAAGTATTCTGCTAGACAGGCTAGCCAGCAAGACCTGAGAATCCTCCTGTCTCCACTTTCCACCTTATGTGGGTTCTTGGAATCTGAACCCAAATCCTCATACAAGCAATTTACTGAGTCATATCTCCAGCCCTGTTTGGATCTTTTTTATAAGTGTGCATTACATGTGTAATGTCAGAGACTGATGCCTTTGATAAAGAATACAGTCAACTTCCTTAGTCTGTGACTTCCTATTCTACTGCTGTGAAGACAGACACCATGACCAAGGTGACTCTTATAAAAAGCCTTTAGCTGGGGTTTGGAGGGCTGGCTTACAGTTTCAGAGAGTCAGTCCTTTATCATCCACAGCAGGGAGCATCGCAGCAAGCATGGCACTGGATCAGTAGCTGAGAGCTACACAGGATCTTCAAGCAGAGAAAGTGAGACTGGGTCTGACAGAGACTTTTGAAGCCTCAGACCTCACACCCAGAGACATACTTTCCCCAAAAAAGCCATACCTCCTAACCCTTGTAATCCTTTCAAACAGCTTCACTCCCTGGTGACCAAATATTTAAATATACGAGGCTGTGGGGGCCATTCTTATTCAAACCACTACAATAACTGTGCACCTGCACAATGAGACCCAACTTTACTGTGCAAGTTAAGGTTTGTTTTGGTGTTTTGTTTTGTTTTGTTTGGGAATGTGTTTGTTTTTGTTTGTTTGGCAACTTGATTCAGACTAGAAACACTTGGAAAGAGGAGCCCTCAATTAGGGAACTGCCTCCATGAGATTGACCTTTGGGCACGTATTTGTAGGGGATTTTTTCCCTCTGATTCCCGGTTGTTGTGGGAGGACCCGGCCCATAGTGGAAGTACTATCCATGGTCCCGGGTTGTATTAAAAAGCGGGTGGAGCCAGCCATAGGGAACAAGTCAGCACTCAACTCCCGGCTCCTATTTTACTTGTTCCCTCAATGATGGACTGAGACTTGGAAATGTAAGGCAAGTAAACTCATTCCTCTCAAAGTAGTTCATGGTGTTTAACACAGCAGCAGAAAGCAAACTAGAACATTTACCTGTGTTCTGCCTTCGTTCATACGTGTCAAATATACGTCATGTTCCTTGCACCTCTGTGACCTATGCAATGCTGGGAATGGATCCCATGGCCAGCTATTTTTGTGTGAGGCAAGCACTCTGCCACATGGCCACGCCAGCACTAAGCCTTTGCTTATGGTGTTCTCTTTATGCACAGTGCCGTGCTTCACCTCCTCTCTTTAATCCCGTCCTTCCAAGGCCATGCATCTGCAGTGAGAACTTGCATCATGCCCTCAGACAATTGAGCATCCCTTCTTTGGGATTCCCACAGCATTTGGTATGTTAGGTCCTACTTGCTACCTAATCCAAGTTCCTCTTTTGTATTGCAGCCTGACAACTATTTGCTGGATAAAGATATTAACAAGGGAAGAGGCAAATTTCTGTTGGTATAAGAAACATCTCAAGGCAGTACATAATGAATTGCATATGGATCCAACATCAGTAACTGCTACAAAAATCAGAAGAGGGAATCTGATTCATCTGTGTACATCCTCCAGAGCAACTAGCATGGTAACTGGCTCACAGTGGAAGCTCAGCAAGTGCTCCATGAATGAATTAATCACTGCCTTTCAATGAAGTGATGACGAGCAGTTGAAGAGCAAGCAGCGTGAGTACCACACTGAGAAGAATGAGTAGTTTCTTAACTATCCATCATCACCAGCCTCCACAGATTTGAGGTACACATGCTTGCTAGGGCTTGTGGGGAGCACTAGGCTGGCAAATGCTCAGAAGTGGAAAGGACACAGAAAAAAAAAAAGTATTCATTTGGGGAGGGTAAATTTAAAATTAGGAACCCTTATCCCAAAAGCAGTTGCTCGTACATGGGATATGGTCTTCTAGCTGGGCTGCCTTGTCTGGCATCAGTGGGAGAGGAAACATCTAGCCTTGCAGAGACTTGAAGTTCCAGGGTAGGAAAATGGAGGGAGGGGGTGTACCTGCTCAGAGGAGAAGGGGATAGGGAGATGAGGGAAGGCTTGTGGAAGGGGATGACCAGGAGGTGGGCAGAGAGTACCACTGTAATGTAATGTGAATAACTAAAAACATAAAATTTAAAATAAAATGAAATAAAATTAGGAACCCTTACATTAAATAATAGGTAGGACATATTAAAACAAACAAAACAAAAAATGCACAGTGTAGCTGATCTTCTAAGTGTTCCCCAGGCAGTAGCAGGAATTGGCAGTAAAAGAAGGAGACACCCCATGGAGGAGGAGACACCCCATGGAGAACTGGGGAACGTTTTGAAGAGGGAAGGACATATAAGCCCCTCAATCCAACAACTCTGTTGAGCATTTCTCTGGTATGGCATCAGTCGAAAGAATTGTGGTAATGACTGGGGTAGACAGGACTGGGAGATAGAGGGACTGATTAGAGAAAAACAATTGTGGCTTCAAGTTCCTTGAAATTTGATAATCTCCAGACTGAACCAAAGTTCGGGGGCACCATCAAAATTAGGTTTGGGGCTAGGATGTGGTAGAACAATTACTCAGCATGCACAAAGCTGTGGGTTTCATCCCCAGCACCCCAAGAAAAAATAATCATTATAATAATAAGAAAGAGGAAGAAGTGGAGGAAGAGGAAGAGGAGAAGGAAGAGGAGAGGAGATAGATGAGAAGGATGCTTTGCTAAATCAGGGAGTAAGAATCATGAATGTCCTATAAATATGTTATTTATCATTTTCTTCTAGATTAACTTCATTCCCTGACAGGGGGAGGGCAGAAGTGCAAGTGATGAAAGTCCACCTCTCTATGACAGTACAGCCTCTTTCTATAACAGTTTTACTAGGATCCAATTGTGTTTAAAGAACTGAAGACCCATAAAACAAGTAAGAAAAACCCACAAATTCTGACTTTTATTCCTTCTCAATAAATGTGATCATCAAAGTCTTAAGGTACAAATGACAATGTATCTTCTGGTCTCCGTTCTCTGTTACACTTTTCTTGGGAAGACATTATCTTTTCAAGGCAGTATGTTGGCACAGTCTTGTCTACCAGCATCCAGAGATGAGCC